GGCCCCCAGACCCCACCAACCTCTCACCACGTTGGCCACGTTGCAGTGGGGGTCGATGCTCCCGATGTGTTTGGGGTGCGCGGGRTTGGTGCTGCCATCGAACAGCAGGGCTGGGGGGGGGACAACAAGCTGGGGAACCCCAAAAACAGCCGGGGACACCCCCAGAGTGCCCCGGGGCTGAGGGGGGACATTTGGGGACATCTGGTCCCCGTCCCCTCCCCGGTCCCTGTCCCCCTAGTCCCTGTTCCCCATTCCCAGTCACTCTGTCCCCCATGCCGGGGTTCCCGGTCACTCTGTCCCCTGCTCCTGGTCCCTGTCCCCTCGTTGTCCCTGTCTCTCACAGTCCCTGTCCCCCCGCTGTCCCTGTCCCCAATCCCTGTCCCCTGTCCCTGTCCCCGATTCCCGGTCACTCTGTCCTCTCTCTGTCCCTGTCCCCTCCCCTGTTCTTGGTCCTTGTCCCCTCGCGGTCCCTATCCCTGTCCCCATGCCCTCGTTGTCCCTGTCCCCGTCCCTGTCCCATGTCCCTATCCCCTGTCCCTGTCTCCTGTCCCCATTCCCTGTCCCCTCTCACTCCCCATTTCCTGTCCCTGTCCCCTGTCCCTGTCCCTATTCCCTGTCCCTGTTCCTGGCCCCTCTCTGTCCCTGTCTCCTGTCCCCATTCCCTGTCCCCTCTCCGTCCCCATCCCCGTCCCTGTCCCCTCTGTCCCCTCTCTGTTCCATTCCCTGTCCCTGTCCCCTGTCCCCATGCCCTCACTGTGCTGGTTGATGAGCATGCGGATGGAGATGCGGCTCAGGTAGAAGCGGTCCAGGAAGTATTGGATGTTGTGGTTGGACACGGGGTCGTCCCCGTACGCCTCCTTGTACTCGATCACCCCCTGCGCCATGGTGGGGACAACGTCGTTGTGACGGTTCCGGATTGTCACCAGCGCGTTGGTGAACCTGCCCGGGGGACAGCGACGGCGCTGGGGACACTGTGGGGACAGTGACACTGATGGGGACACACAGGGGACAGCGATGGTGCTGGGGACACTGTGAGACAGTGATGGCACTGGAGACACTGTGGGGACACTGTGGGGACAGCGATGGCACTGGGGACACTGTGGGGACATTGTGGGGACAGTGATGGTGCTGGGAACACCATGGAGACAGTGACATCATTGGGGACACCCTGGGGACAGTGATGGCACTGGGGACAGCCTGGGGACAGCGATGGCACTGGGGACACTGTGGGGACACTGTGGGGACAGTGATGGTGCGGGGAACACCATGGAGACAGTGACATCATTGGGGACACCCTGGGGACAGTGATGGCACTGGGGACAGCCTGGGGACAGCGATGGCGCTGGGGACACCGTGGGGACAGTGACACCATTAGGGACACCGTGGGGACAGTGATGGCACTGGCGACACAGTGAGGACAGGGACAGTCCTGGGGACACCCCGGGGGACAGCCCAGGGACAGTGACACCACTGGGGACACCCCAGGGGACAGTGACACCATTGGGGACATCCCGAGGACAGCGACACTGCCCCGAGCCTGTAATGGCCCAATCCACGCCAGGATTCCTGGGAAAACCTGGAACAGGGTCCAGTGACACTTTGGGGTGACCCTGTGTGACACCATACGGATCTGGGAGGAGGTGACACCCTAGAATTGCTGTCACCCCCCTCCCCAACTCACTGTCCCAGCGTGGCCTGGTCCTCAGGGTCCTTGTCGTGGAATTCCATGATGTCCAGCAGGCTCTGGACGTACCTGGGCAAAGGGGACACGGTCACCCCACAGCTGCCACCCCACACAGAGGGGACACCCCAAACACCAGCTGAAGGGTCAGCCCCCTTCAGCCAGCACCCCCACCCCAAAATCTGTCACCCCAGGGGTCACTGCTGGCATAGGGGTCCTTGGGGACACTTGGGGACAC